GATGCCTCCACCTTGGAGAACGCATCCTTACTCCCACCTGCTTTGATTTGGATAACCTCTTCCTTTGTGCCTCCATATACCCACAATAAATTCCTTTATTTATTAGTGTGTCCCTCACAAATCCACAAGGTCAATGCAGTCAAGAGTATGACTTTTAGCTGTATTTCCGATGCTTGCAATACTGTCCACTATACCCTCCTTCTTGAAATTGCTTCTTCCCTTAACTTCCATGACAGTGTGTATTTTTTTCCAGATGCTCTGCATTCCTATAAGCTGCTTCCCTTCGTTCCTTAATTTCCTGTTCCTCTTCTCATCCCAAAAGGCAAAAGTCTCATCATCAGTCCTCCTCTCTTTGTGTATTTGCTCTTTTGGTTGCCTATTCCTTGTCTTCTAAACTCTATGTGCTGAAGACCCTGAGATCTACACGTCCAGCTCACAGCTCCCTTCTGAGCACAGATTTCCTTTTAGATTGCCTACTGTTCATTTCCCTTTGGAGATTCTGTCTCACCAGGGACCTCAACATGTCTGAAACAGGACTCCTCCTCTTTCTTTCCAAACCAACTTCTTCTCCTATTTCTGTTAATAGAGCTACAATTCTCCTCGTCAGTCAAACTCAAAACCAGTTATGTTTGGCCCCATCCTTTCCCTCCTCATGCTCACATTACCAAGAGGTGAACTCTTCTTTGTTACTGATTTTCACATTCCTCTCCATTCTCATTGTCACTACCATAATGTTGTACTTGATTACTAATTGCTAACTAGATCCTTGCTCAGTGCTTGGCTCTTGATCAGCACCATCTGCATCAGCTATGCTCATGTTAGAATGCAGAGGTTCAGGTTTAACCCCAGACTTGCTGAGTCAGGTCTCCGGTCACTTGTCTGCTCACTGAAGTTTGAGAAGCATTAGGCCAGGCCACATCAATAAATTCTTTGGCTCACACCTGTAATTCCAGCACTTTGGGAGGCCGAGGTGGGAAGATCATTTGAGGCTGGGAGTTTGAGGCTGAGGTGAGCCATGACTGCACCACTGCACTCTAGCCTGGGTAACAAAAACGAGACTCTGTCTCAAAACAAACAAACAAAAAATTCTTAAGTGGAATCCCTGACTCTAGTCTCTTCTTTCCTTTCATACATCCTACAGACCACAGTGATATGAATTTCTTCTGATCATATCATTTTCTCTCAACTCAAATTTAATGACTAATGACTGTACTCTCCAAGGAATAAAATTCACATTTCTTTCTTTTTTAGGGACAGGGTCTTCCTTTGTCACTCAAGCTGGAGTGTAGTTGTGTGATCATGGCTCACCTCAGCCTCAAACTCCTGGGCTCAAATGATCCACCCACCTAGCCTCCCAGGTAGCGGGACTGCAGGTGTATGCCACCACGCTCAGCTGATTTTTAAATTTTTTGTAGAGATGAGGTCTTGCTATGTTGCCCATGCTAGTCTTGAATTCTTGGGCACAAGTGATCTTCCTGACTTGGCCTCCCAAAGTGCTGGGATTATAGGTATGAACCACCATACCCTGCCCAAGGTCCACATTTCTTAGAAAATGAGGCTCTCAGCCACCTACCCAATCTAGTTCCCCAGACTTGTATATGCTGTTTCACTAATATATTCTGTATTTCAGGTCAACAGAACTAATATATTCTGTATTTCAGGTCAACAGAACTAGAACTAATATATTCTGTATTTCAGGTCAACAGAACTATGGCACTAGTGGGAAAGAATTTTAACTAAGAATCACTTTTAGCAATGACATAAGTTGGTTCTGTAACCTCAGGCAAAATGTTTGTCCTCTCAGATCTTGGATTTCTCCTCTGCAAAATAAGGAAGTTAGACCAGGCTAGTGCTTTAAAGATTTTTTTACTGCAGTCTACAGTAAGAAATATATATGTACAATGTATTCACATCCATACATTAAAAATATAAGTACAGTTACAATTGGAGCAAAAGTTGCAGAAAATAATACTTGTTCTTTCAAAATGTAATGCATGCTAATATTTTCTATTTTCTTCTCATTTATTTATTTCATTCTTAAAAACGCAGGTTGCTAACCACCATATTGATTTCAAAACGCACTAATGGAACCTGGAGATTGCAAAACACTGTGTTTCCTCTAACCCTAACAAGCCATGACTTTTGGGTCCTCTTCCCTGAACATATCCTCTATTTCCCTACTGTGTACCTTTGCTGAAAACATTTTCTCTCCCTGTAACATGCTCTCCTATTCCAGACTCTTGAAATACAGTGTGTTTAAGATCTGAAATTTCTTTTTTTTTTTTTTGAGACAGAATCTCGCTCTGTCACCCAAGCTAGAGTGCAGTGGCGGGATCTTGGCTCACTGCAAGCTCCACATCCTGGGTTCACGCCATTCTCCTGCCTCAGCCTCCTGAGTAGCTGGGACTACAGGCGCCTGCCACCATACCCGGCTAATTTTTTTTTCTTGTATTTTTTTAGTAGAGACGGTGTTTCACTGTGTTAGCCAGGATGGTCTCGATCTCCCGACCTCGTGATCCACCCACCTTGCTTCCCACAGTGCTGCGATTACAGGCGTGAGCCACCGCGCCCAGCCTAAGATCTCAAACTTCTTAAAACTAGAAGATATCTTTAATGCCCTTGCACATCTATAGTACTAAATTGTATTTCTTTCTTGACATTCTACACAAGTGTACTGTAATAGTATTGGTGCCTATTTCTTATCTCTTGTTTTTGGCTATACTCCCTTGAGGGCAGGGATCATGTCTTTTATGTCTAGTTTTCCTTTGAAGCATTTAGCACAGTGTCTGCTATGTGAGAGTCACTCAAGCCTGAAAATCTCACTCTCTCACAGTTGTTCTTTCTCCAACCATTCTTCTATTTAATCAACACCTCCAGGTCCTTGAACCCTTCCACTCTCTTCATAACTATCAGCAAGCTGCTTATCTTCACTTCCTTCGCTCAGATTAGACTCAGACTAGATACCACTGGCCAACACCTTAACTTCTGTCTTGATAATCTCTTCAACTCTCTTGCCTACCTGTCTCTTCCTTTCATATGTCTGGCAGAACTTCAACTCTGACTCAATCCAACTGTCTACATTCTCTGCTCCTCTATTCAAATTGCCAAGCATTACCATAAAAAAAAAAATCCCACGATTGTGCAGATAATGTAATGGTCTTCACCCTTACCAGGGTCCTTAACACATCATGAAACATTCCTATTTGGTTTCTCTAGTTAGCTCCCTATCCCATTCTCCACACAGCTCACTGGTATTTTAATTTTTTTTTTTTTTTTTTTTCACTCTTCTCAACCCTTTGTTCTCAAACATTCCTTTCCAAAACCTTACTTCCAAGACTGGGTTAGGTTCCCTTATTATGTGTTCCCACAGTATTCCTAGTTACTACGGCCATAGGCTTTAGCACTTTGATTCTCACCACCTATTTATTAATTATAGCACAACTTACTTTTTTTTTTTTTTTTTTTTGAGATGGATTCTTGCCCTGTCACCGAGGCTGGAGTGCAGTGGTGCGATCTTTGCTCACTGCACCTCCACCTCCTGGGCTCAAGCAATTCTCCTGCTTTACCCTCCTGAGTTGCTGGTATTACAGGTATGAACCACCACACCTGACTAATTTTTTGTTTTTAGTTAGAGACAGGGTTTTCGCCATGTTGGCTAGGTCTGGTCTCTGAGCCACCGCGCCAGGCTAACAACTTATATATTTCAAACGTACAAAAATTAGTATCATTTACAGTATCTTAAGATAAACTTCCTTTGAATAGGAGCTTCCTTTCCAGTACTTTGAGGTCTACAAGATGTATTTAGAAAATTTACTACTGTGGAAAATGAAGACTGCTTACACCAAATGTTGGGGAGAGGGAAGGGCCTGTGATTTTTCTTTTTGATCAATTGCTGTAACACTGTCTTTCAGGTAACTGAGGGAGTTTCACATTTTCTTTAGACATCATTAGGCGCTGAAGCTCTTGAAGGATAACTTTGATGATATATGAATTCTGACATTTTGCTAGCACTGATATAGCTCTTGGGTTCACCATTCCATTAGAACTATTAACTCCATTCATATTAATTTTTGTTACAAATCTTACAAAGGGGAATGCTTCTGGGTATTTAGGTCCACATTCTATTTTAAGGCTATATATTCTGTTTTCATAAATTGCCTGAGCCCATGGTGGCTGCCATCTTGCGTTGCTGTCGCTTGAAGGGTGGCCCTCACTGCCTATTTAAGTTCATGTATCTTACTGGACTTTAAGCTCATTGAAAATAAGAAACACAACTTATTCATTATTGAAACCCCAGAACTTATTACAGCACTAAGTACTCAATAAATATTTCTTAAATGAATGAATAAATGAATACATAAATAAATATTAGTTAAATGAATAAATATACCATATACAAATTTCATATGGTTATTTTAAGAGCCAATCAATTAATTAATGCCAATAAAACCTTAGGGAATGAAAAGTATGAAATATAAATGGTTTCTAAAATTTATAACAGATGTAGAATTATAGCTAGTTAAAAGTTTATTATTATTTCTATTCTAATGACTGGAAAAATAGGAGTTAGGGCCACATATATAATAGAATCTGCTAGAACAAGTATTGCAGACTTCATCATAGACCACAGTAATCTGATAGGAAGAAGGTATTTATTTTACGATGGCCTAGCTTTAGTTTTTTCCTTTTAGTATAATTCTCCTTCACTCGTTTATTCATCTAAAGACACATTTGCATGTGGCCATGACTGACAGCATTAGGTTGCTCAGAAAACATTGCTCTATATCTTAAGGGGCAACTCAGCAACTCTTTTACTTTTTTCTTTCTTTCTTTCCTTTTTTTTTAAAAAAAAAGAACAAAAACAAAACTTTTCTCTGGAATATCAGTGATGTCCATCCTCTTATTTAGTATCATAGGACTTTGCCTTGTGAGGCAGTCTGTTTCAGAACTCTCCTTCTGTGGGCAAGCCAGGAGAGGGTCCTGACCCTTAACGTACTCACTCTGACATTGTGAGGATGAAGCCCTCCTGGATGCTGAGACATATACTGGGCCAGGTCTGTGTGCTAAATAAAACAGCAGAGAAAGAGAAGAGAGTGAATTCAGTGGTGCTTGGATAGTTTCCTAAAGCAGAACATTGACTTGACTGTCAGAAGGTATTACGAAGTACAGAATTTTAAGAAAAACGTGCAAAAGGAATATAACCAGGTTTTCTGAGAACCCACTGTTAAGGTCAAACACAGTGTGTCTTTCTAACTGGTGGCTCTTAGAACAAAGCCGGTTTCTCAGCACAGAGATGCTCATTTTAAATGACTGGCAGTGAACACGACGACGCAGGAATTTTTCACTCTCCAAGTGTCCTTGGAGGCAAGTCAAGTACACATACCTTACAAGTTCTTTCTGCTTATTTAAATATTTTTTCTTCAAAAATACAACATGAGTTATTCTTTAGCAAGCTTGCATACAATTTTTAAATATCTTGTGATTTTTACCTTTATTGTCAATGAAAAAAATGTTGGATTCTGCTCAGATAGTGATTAAAACTAGATTAAAAATAAGTGCAAAAGCTTTATTTAGGAGGTAAACTCAAGATCCTCATTTATTATTGCTGATGAGGGGAAAAAGGACAGCAAAAGTCATGGGTAAGGAAGCAGGACCAAAGATGGATGTGGGAACAATAAGGTTCTATTAATCACAATAATGAATATTTCCATGATACTTTCCACGTTGTGTAATAAAAGTTTTATCATGCCATAAAATATTAACAGATTCATTATACAAGTACCAGGCTATTTTTCTCATGTGTTGTAAAATGCTCGAACAACTCACCATGTATTCAAAAACGAATGTCAGTGTCTCTTTGGTGTGGATTATGTCATGCAGAAGCACAATATTGGCATGTTTTAAACCCTTCAGGAGAGAAGCTAGAAAAATTAAACAAAATGTTAAATCCATCATTGATAATGAAAGTGCTGCTCTAAAGATATCAGGCAGTATATATTTTTTAAACATTTCACATCAAACATTCTGGCTATTTTACTGCTAGAAAACAATCTCTTGTTGCAAAAGAATATTTAAAATTACAAAGAACCTTCATTATTTCAAAAATGGCAAAACATTGCATTTACATAACTTATTGTTCCTACAGGCTACAGTAGTTGCAAAAAATATGTTTCCATTTACCTAATCAATTTCATCAAAGCACTCAGATCACTAAATGCTCCCCTTTGGGAATCTCATCAACCTAGCTTCAGAGCTACAGGAGGAGAGGCCTGAGAGATAAAGTGCTTTGGACGAGTAGGAAATGGAGTGTTCTGCCTTCTAAAGCAGGATTTTGTGACACATGACCAGTCTCCAAAATTCTAACTCTCACAAGCGGTCAATAAGGCCGGTGGATATGATTGGTGGGAGACAGGGATAAGAGCATGGGGTAAAGAACTGTTGAAACATGATAGAGACTGGAGAGCATTTCCTAAAGGTAATGTTGCAAACCTCTGTGGAAAGGAGAAAATGTGAACTTGAAAAGAGGAGTCAGCCAAACTTGGGGAGCCCAGGGAGGTGAAAGTGGAGAAGGCTGAGGGCTTTCTCTTGCCTCTTCAATAATAGGTTACTAAAGGCAGCCTTGAAGGGAAGAAGTCATCACAAAAGGCCAAGTGATTGGGAGGGGTTTGAAAGTCTGTCTTTGAGCTTCCGGAGATAGGAAGATCTCTGGCTTCAGGAAAGCAGAGACTAGAAAAGGTACAATAAAGAGACCATGAGGCTTGGGCACGGTGGCTCACACCTCTGATCCCAGCACTCAGAGAGGCCGAGATGGGTGGATCACCTGAGGTCAGGAGTTTGAGACCAGCCTGGCCAACATGGTGAAACCCCGTCTCTACTAAAAATACAAAAACTAGCCGGGTGTGGTGGGGCGTGGTGGTGCACACCTGTAATCCCAGCCACTCAGGAAGCTGAGGCAAAAGAATGCTTGAACCTGGGAGGCGGAGGTTGCATTGAGCTAAGATTGCACCACTGCACTCCAGCCTGGGTGACAGAGCAAGACTCCATCTCAAAAAAAAAGATGATGAGGCTCACTTCAGGGCATCCCTGCATGAATAAATCGTGTCAAAGCTTAAAGGAAAGGAAAAGTAAAGGATTAAAAACTCAAAGCAGCATTCTGTAGCCTATGCCTGCATATCATGAATCTCCTGCACCAACTCCCTCCCAGTGTAGAATTCCATAAGATTAGAAACAAACAACTGAAATACTCCCTTAAATTTAGGAACAAAATTATTTTCTTCAGTCATCAACCTATTTTAGTGAATCTGTCATTTTGCCCTCCTGGCAGCCATTCTCCCTTCTAGTAGGGGGCACTTGTATTTTCCCCTGGGGAAACAACCGTCTTCTTCCTCAGACCATGCTCATCTGGCAGGGCTGACCCTGCCTCTACCCAAGAGTGGGCATGTGACCCAGAGCTGACCAATCAGAGCACGGCACTCCCCTATGCCTAGTGATTGGTTCTGAGACAGGCACAAAACCCAAGTTTGGCAGAGCCCTGTTTTGCTGGTGCCATTAGAAAAGAAGTGCTTTCTTTTCTATTGTGAGAGCTAAACTTGTAGGATTTAGCTAGGAGTTGCTGGGGTCAGATTACTAACACCTGGTGACAGCATGCCTGGGAATAAAATGAAGGCACGGCAAACCAGTGTTGGGTAATGAGAGACATGGCTTCCTGGTGGTATTTCTTATGCCCTACCAGCCTGTAGTTATCAGATCTGTGAGCCAGTGAATTGCTCTCTTGTCAGTTTAAGCTGACTTACACCAAAGAAGCTCCATCACACCTGTTAACCCTATTTGCTGTAATGACTAATGCTCTAATTTTTACTTTTTGCCCCCAGAGTCCTTATGGGCTAAATTTATTATTTCACTTTTACAAATGTGTTGCTTTGTAAATGTAATAAACAACTTCTCAGGCATCTGTTTAATCTCCCTAGTCTCAGACTAAAGGCCACATGGGAATTGAGGGAGTGACTTTCCCCCTTTTTGAGATGCTGCCACACCACCTAGTACCACACTCAGCCAAGAGTAAGCACTTAATTTGTCAAACATATTTATTGAGTGTCTTAAGGAGAACTGTCTGTGGAGCCAGAAGCCCTAATATGAATCCTGGCCCTGTCACTTCCTATCTGAGTAAGCTCTGGAGAGTATCTCAACCCAAGTCTCAATTCATTCCTTAGGAAAAGAGACATCGTCTTTTCTGACTTACTTCATAGGGTTGCTATGAAGATGGAATCAGATACCATTTGTGGAACCTTGGTAAATGGAAAGCATTACAGAGGCAAATTAGAATTGGTATCCCTTCCCTCTTCTTGCCAGCTTCTTGCCCCTGCCTTTCACCTTGAACCCCACTAAACCTCTACTCTCAGTCTTAAAATCTTGTTTATGGTATGTTTCTGCTAGAGTCTTAAACACCTTCCATATTTTCTGACCATCAGTTGAGAATGCTTATACTTTATGTGTATTTTTATTTATAAATTATCTCATACATTTCTCTCTTTCCCCCACCCCTATGTTGCGAAGCATATAGCAAAATTAGATTTCAAAAGGATATGGTAAAACTGAAATTGCTAAGAATATTGTTAAGATATTTTAATTGTATGTTTAATATAATTTTAGTCTCACCTAACTATATTACTAAAACTCCAGATGCTTCTTTATAAATCATGATGGCATGTTTTGTTCATTATGATGGCCTCATGCTCTCATTTGCTAAAATGGTCAAGGAACAATACCTACTTGGGATGAGGCTTCCTGCTAACAATACTGGATATAAACTTCATGTCGTTTTCTTGATAATTCTAGTTTTTGTAGAAGTAGGAAATGTGTCTGTTTTGTATTTCTCTGTTGTTCACTTACATTGGAATTACTAGTTTTACCCACAACCCACAGTTTCTTTGCAGAAATCTTTTTAACCATTCATCCAACTTTTTATCACATACAGATCTATTGGCATTACCTTCCAGATTGTCCAGAACCCCTCCCTTCTTGCCATACCTTCTGCCAGCACCCTGGACCAAGCCACTATCATATGTTGGTTGAATTATTGCAAATGCCTCCCAACTGCCTGCTTCCCCGCTTCCTTCCTACGGCCACTTATTCACAGGACAGCCAGACACTGCTATCCTTCTCAAATGAGTTAGGGCATGTGCCTCCTGGTTCCAAACCCTCCAGTGGCCTCTCAACTCATGCAGAGTAAATTGAAAGGACTTGTGATTTCCTGCCCACCGTGTTGGCTGTGCGCATTGTGACCTGTCATCTCCTCACACTCCCATCTTTGCTCACTTGGCTTTAGCCTCATTGGCCTCCTAGCTGTTCCTTAGACACACTTGCAAACACATTTCCACCCCGTGGTCTTACACTTCTCATTGTCTTTTCCTGTAACCCTCTCTTCTCACCTCTCTGCCTTCATCCTTCCTCACTTTCTTCAGAGCCTCCGCTCAAATCATACACACAGGTACAGACTTCCTTGACCATTCTACATGAAAAAGCAGCCATCTACTCCATCCCATCTCAGCAGCCCTCCACACCATCCCACCTCTACCCCATCCTACCCTCTCTCTCTCTGGGCCCTGCTTTATTCTTTTCCATAGTGCCTGTCACCACCATCTGACATATTATATATAAATATTTGCTTATTGTCTGTCTCCACAATTGAGAATATAAACTCCATTGAGAGCGGGCACTTTTGTTTTTTTATTGCTATATACCCAGTGCCTAAAACAATGTCTGGCACTCAATAAATATTTATCTTTAAATTAGTGGTCACTAATTACCTAATATCCTTTCTATACCTCTAGTTGGTTGGCAAAGGGTGTTTCTGTTGAAGATGCTTTTATTCCCCCTTTCTTTTAGTTGTCTCCCTCATTAGATTATAAATATTGTATGCTTTACGGCCATGCCTATTACTGCTTTTCTAGTGCCCTAGAACTACTGAAATCGTTATATGAAAACTGAATTTTGCTGAATAATGAATAGGGAATTCAGATGAAAGAGCAGATGATGTTTAAAGCATTTATCTCACAGTATTGTTTATCATTTTGGTCCATCCACCAGAGGGATCTGAAATGCCTACAGCCTCAGATGTGTGGGTCTTAAACCCAGGAAGAAAAGGTCTTTCTTTCTTCTAATTTTAAGGACATTTTATAAACTGCACAGCAGGATGTGATATCTGTCCTGCAGACTAAACAGTTGAGGGACACAAAAATCAACTGAGAAGGGCAAAGATCCTAAAATTAGCATTCTGAGTCTCATAAAATAGTGTTTTTTATTATTCATGTATCCTATGTATACTTATTTTTGTTTTTCTTCAAATAAATGACACAAAAGTAAACAGAGATCTCTTTAAGTCTCCAGAAGAAAGCTGATTCTCCAAAGTCCTAGGATGTGGCTCTATATAATGAAGGCCTGGTAGTCAAAGTCGTCTTTAGGCTGTAAACTCATTGAGGGCATGGATTGAACTTGCCCTTGTCTTTGCATCTCCAGCACCAGCACAGGCCTGGCATGTGGTGCTCAATAAATACTCGTGAATTAATGAAAGCCAGGCCAATTGTAATGAGTTTATGAAGAATCATGTAATGAGTCAAGGATGGAGTCCTCCCCAACCTTCATTGGACATTGAATTAAAAAGTGTTTCTAGTCCCTGTTGTCACATTTCCTCTGAACTGAGAATCACAAATCAATGAGTCAAGTTATGCATTCCAAGAAAAGAAATAATTGAAATAATTTTAGATAAATGTTAGAGAAATAGTAAGACAAGTGTCAGATAAGTAGTTGTCTTGGTATCTTTGGAATTGTAATGCTGATCACATACCATTATGCTGGCATTGTTTTGTTTTATAAAGATGTAACTATGCACAGTGGATTTGCTATATTTGTGATGTGATTTGAT